TGCGTGGCATCCTGTCTGTAAGCGCGGGCAAACCAGACGCGCGGCAAGACTATCCTGCGAGCCACCCCCCTCGGCGGTGCAGGGCGCAGCCGTGTGCGTGTTCTTGGGGGCGGAATTTGCACGTGAAGTTTTGGGTTGGCAGTATTTGAGCAATACACAAAATGAAGCACATGCAATCACCGGAGATCGCCGACGTCTCCATAAGCAGATTGCCGCACGATTCCTAAGCTATTACACAAAGAGCAGCATCCTTCAACACTGGGGGTGGCTAAAAGGACGCACGGTCCAGTGCAATGCGCCACGAGCGTGCGGGAGCAAATAGTTCGTGCCCCATAGTCGCTGGCATGCTGTATTGTGTTCGCATCGGCTTTCCGAAACAGGTATTGCAAATAATTTGGTTGAATGTGTACCCGCCGTCCCCGGAGGCCGAGCTTGTTCGAATCTGTTTTGAACTGGTTTGGGTCGCGACCAAGCACCTCCTAGCCAGGCATGTGGATGCAGCAATCGGGCTGGAGACCTGTGCAATTATGGCATCGGGTGTCTGGGCGCGCCATTCGCAGCCGCCTACTTCCGTCGACATGGGGGGTGGGGGCATGAAAAAGGGAAAAGCCAGGAAGGTCAGAAAGGCGGCTGGGTGCCCTACCCCGCGTACTCCAGATACGGTGGACTCCACGCTGCTGTCGCCCCACCCTCCACAGCCATGGCGGAACATCCAGGCGATGGGGGGGATGAGCAGGATCGGGAACATCATCGCCTTCCACGGCCAGGACCCCAACGCTGGCGTTAGCGCCCAACTGGCGACGACGCGGACAGCGCCGCTTCCCAACCCGACACCCCAGTCAGCCAACGTCCTGGTCAGGGCCGTGACAACCATCCTTCAGGGTCAGCAGCCGCCCAGCGACAACGGCTCCAGGTGCTCTCCCCTCACCGCGACCGTGGCGAGGTTGAACGAATTCATTGGGGCCAACCCCGAGCCGCCTGCTGGGGGGGGGGCCAGCCCAGCGGTGCAGCGCCTGCAGCGGGACTTCGAAGAGCTCAAGGAGACGGGGCGAGTCACGGCCGTCACCCGCGCGACCCGTCAGCTCCTCGAGCGGCTGATGGAGAACGGCGGCGCGGCCGCCCCGCTGGGGCAGCCGGGCGGGCGCCGCGCCCTGCGGACTCGCCGTCTGCCTTGCTCAAGCCAGCCACGACCGTGGAGCTCACAAAGCAGGCGCTCACCTACCTGGCGGTCGGCCTATCCCCCCCGTCGCTGCTCCTGAACTAAGCAGCCTCGATGGACCTCGCGACGAACAGTATTGGCGCTCTTTGGCGCCGCCGACCTACAGCTCGGCGCCCGCGCCGCCTCCGAGGTCGGCTTGTGCTCGAGGCCCCCTGGTGTCATGTTGCGGCAGAGTTGGGAGCCGGGCGCTGGCGTCACCCTGCAGCGGCGCTGGAACATCTTCGGCTGCGTCGCCGTCCAGCGCGGACGGCAGCGCGAGAGTCAGGGATGGGCCGGCCACTCCCAGGGCGATGTCAGCAGCGGGCACGCCCATGGCGCCACCGATTGGGATGCCCGTCAGAGAGGGCACGCCAAGGCTTCACAAATTCACTCGGCACTGGCACTCGGCTGGGATTTGCCGCGCCCGTTTCCCGCCGCAGGGCTGCGTCGACCTCCCCGCCTGCCACCGCTCCGCCCGCGCTGTCTCTCCGCGGGCCGCGGCGGGCGTACAGATTGGACTCGGGCAAGGAACGCGCCCCCCGTCCCAGTCGGTGGACTGACCTGGAGCAACTGGACAGAGCGCAAAGGTCAAAGCAAAATGCACCGAAACCATGCTGCGACTACTGCCGCGGCGGGCGTAGGAGGGGTGCGGCGACGAGGAGCGGCAATTTTGGTCGTGGTAGCGATCCCCTTGTCGCCATTCCCGTGCGCGCCGGCGCCGCGGTTGGCTAGTAGAGGGGCGTGGTGGCGTGGGTACTGGAAATGAAGGGCGGTGGCGAAGAGGGGCCGCCGTGAGGCCTGCTGTTGTCCGCCGCGTCGACGTCGTCCTGGTGCTCCTCAGCGCCGTTCTTGTGAGAGACCTCGTCGTCGTCGTCGTCGTCGTCGTCTTCGTCGTCTTCGTCGTCGTCTCCCTCCTTCTCCTCCTCCTCCTCCGCCGCGATGGGCACAATGGGCGCGTCGGCGTCGCCTTCCCCTTCATCGGGCTCCTGGGACTTCTGCCCGCGCGCGCCATGTCCAGATTGGTCGTCTCATGCTTCATCCCGTCGTCCGCCAGCATCTGGATGGCTTGCTCGGCATCGCGCAGCGCCAGCTCCAACTCGCCTGGCTCCCGACGGGCGAGGGCACGATGGTGCAGTGCCTTGGTGCTGCTGGCGTCGGGATGCAAGGCCAGGGAGATGTCGGCCTCCGCTTGGACCCACTGCTGCAAGCTGAGGTGCGCGAGCGTGCGATGCGAGCGAGCCATGGCCTTGCAGGAGGAGCGGTCGGCCAGGTGGAAGGAGGGGTGGGTGGAGAGGAGGGACAAGGGGAAAGAAGAGCTGAGCGCTTGTCCTCCCCATCTCTCCGCCTCCCCCACCTCGTGCGATGCGAGCGCAGGGTCGACCACCACGCTGCGGGGGCGCCAGCTGCACAGCTGCTGGCAACGAGCCAGACGGCCTTGGAGAGCTACAGAAGGGCCTCGGCTGCGCTGCCGTGGAGAGAGGGATTGCGGCCGTGCTGCCTGGCCTCCTCGATGCCCTGGGTTCTGTGGTCCACCGAAAGCTTGAGGAACAGGTCCTCCTCCTCCTCCTCCTCCTCCTTCTCCTCCTCCTCCTCCTCCCCACGGGTGCGTTCCTCTTCCTCCTCCTCCTCCTCGACGGCGCCATCCTCATCAGAAGCTTGCGCCACGCCGTCCCTGTCGGACCCCTCCGTGTCGACCCCGCCCTCGCCCTCGTTGGCGACGTCTTCGCGGCTGCGGTTGCTGCTCGCCAATGCGGCGTAGAAGCTCCTCCTGCCCGCTGCTCATTGTCACAGCCGTCCTCCCTGCCTAGCAGCCCCAGAATCCATGGAGCCCCCTGAGCCCTCCCAAAAAACACAGCCAACAAGCCCCGACACACAGCACTCACGCATGCCGTCTGGTATTCTGCATGATTTCGGTGTGACCGCATCTCCGGTCTGGGCGTCCGAAGCCGCCCAAAGTCGAGGGAGCATGTGCCAGTGGGCGGCGCGGCCGTGGGACCGCAGCCGCCGTCGCGCAACCGCGGGATCAGCCCGCTCGCTCGCGCTACACCGCACCCGCAGCGGCGCCTCCTCTGCCCGCTGCTCGCTGTCGTAGTCGCCCCCCCTGCCTGGGCCGAGGGAGGGGTGCCGGAGGGCGGCGCGGCCGTGGGACCGCAGCCACCCTTGCGCAGCTGCGGGATCGGCGCGCTCGGCCGCCCCGCACTGCCGACCAGCCACAACAGGGGGAGCTGTGGTCCCCACCCCCCTGGGGGGGACCCATCGCATCGACGATCTCTCGAGAGGGGTGCCGAAATGGATGGGCCCCCCAGGGGGGTGAGGACCACAGCTCCCCCTGTTGCGGCTGGCCTGCACTGTGCCCGCAACGTCCGCGTGCCCATCGCCTCGAAACCGTGGGCGGTCGCGCCATCGGAGGCGCGCGCGCCTCGTCGCAGGCGTCGTTCTCGCGGCGCTCGTCCTCGCGGCGCCTCGCGGGGTCCGCCGGCGGAGCGGGCAGGACAGCCGCGGCACCGCAGGTGCAGCTGGGGCTCGCGCCGCGGCGGCGGCGCGGCCCTGCATGCAGGGGCCCTGGGACACACAAGTAAGTGCACACACACACACACACAAACAAAAGGATTCCCTATTTTTTCCCATGTTTTCTGGGTTTTCGTCTTCCCCCCCCCCCACTTCCCATATTTCCCCATACTTTCCTGGGGATCGACGATGGATTGTGTCTGTGTTTTGTTCCTCCTGACTGCAAGAGGGCGGGGCGGGGCTGCCGCGCCCCGAGGCCCTGGCGCGAGGCCCCGCACACGTCGGGCTCACAGCGGCAGCTGTGCTCCGTCTTCCCGCGTGAACGTAAGAGATTGTTGTGTTAACCTTTCAATTTGGGCTCTGCAGCTGTCCGATGCGTCCGGTAACTTCGTGCGGCGTCAGCGCGCGCAAAAATCTTTGACACTACGTCGATCGTTCAACCTTCAAACGAACGCCCCAATCGTTCAACATTGAATTCAATCGGGTTCAGTGGCGTTACCGTGTCCATCGGTGCTTCTGCTTCGCAGAATTCAACCTTGAACGCATTCGCAGGCACCGCCGGCGCGCCAACGCCGCATGAACCATGTCAGAATTCGGCTTGGGCGGTGAAGACGGATCCTCCGGGGTAGAGGGGCACTCCCAATCAGCGATCTCCTTGGGTGGCGACGAGGAGGTTGGTTGGTGCCCGATAGCCGTGTAGATGCTCTCGCGAGGACAAACACCATGCATCGCGCGCCGCCATTACGATGGCGGCGCTCCCAGTGCCGGCCCCGCGGCCGCGGGTTGTGGGGGGGCCGCGGCCCTCCCGACTGGCGATTACGAGCTTGATGATTTGCTCCTTCGAAGACGACCGACCCGAACCTCCTCCTTCTCCTCCTCCTCCTCTTCCTCCTCCTCGTCCTTTCCTTCCCCATCCCCCCTCCTCACCCTCTTTTTCTGTCTCCTCCTCCGCCTCCTTATCCTTATCCGTCTCCGTCTCCGTCTCCGTCTCCGTCTCCTCCTCCTCCTCCTCCTCCTCGTCGGTGGCTCGGTGATACGGACGTGTTCGCATCGAAGCGCGTCCTCCCCCAATTCCCTTCCCTTCCTCCACACCCCCTCCCTTCCATCTTCCTTAACAGCCCGCTCCCTTCTTCCTCCTCCGTGCCGCCTCCTCCTCCTCTCCCCTTCCCTGCTCCGCCCCCACTTCCACCCAAACCGTCTCCTCCTCCTCCTCCTCCTCCTCCTGCTCCTGCTGCTCCTCCCTTCTTCCCAGCTGCCGCCCACTCCCCCCTCCGCCTCCCCCCTCGCTTCCTCGTCCCCCTTCCCCTACCGTGAGATCTGGGCGGGCACGGTGCCGCTCGCGCATTCGCGCGAGCGGGGCCGGCGGCGCCGCGCTCTCACACGGCCTGGGGGCGTTGGGGGCCGCGCGGGATCTTCCTTCTCCTGCTGCTGTTGCTCGTGTTCAAGGGGGTTGCTTCCTGAAGCAGCCTTCAAAACCCACATGGATGTGCGGGAAATCCTGCTCCTGCTAACTCCCTCCTGCTCCTGCTCCTGTCCAGTTCCTCCTCCCGTTCCTCCTCCCCCTCCCGCTGCTGCCCATCCTTTGACTCCAACTCCATATCCCCTTCCCTTTCCCACATGTAGTCGTCCTCCCCTGCCCGTCTCCTGCCCTCCTTTTTCATTCCTCATCATCTCCTCCCCTCCCCTCTCCTTTGCCTCCTCCCGCTCTTCCTCCTCCTCCTCTTCCGCCTCCTCCTCCTCCTCCTCCTCCTCCTCCGCCTCCTCCTCCTCCTCCTCCTCCTCCTCCTCCTCCTGCCTCCTCCTCCTCCACTTCCTTCTCCAGGTCCTCCTCGTCCTAGTCTTCCTCCTCGTCCTTCCCCTCTCCTCCTTGTCCTCGTCGTCCTCGTCCTGGTGCTCCTTCTCCTCCTCCTCCTCCTCCTCCTCCTCCTCCTTCTCCTCCTCCTCCTGCTTCTGTCCTCCTCTTGCTGTTTCCCCCCCCTCCCTTTCCCCGCCCCCCCCTCCTCTGGCCTGCGGCACGGGATCGCGTGCAGTGCTGTTGCGCATCAGCTCCGTGACGAAGTTGGCCCTCGCCCAGCGCGCGCGCGGCGCCCGCGCGCAGCAGCGGAGGGAAAGCACCGACTGAGAGACGAGAAGAAACGGTCCTCACGCGAGAAGACACAGCGACCTCGCGCCGCGGCTTGCGCGGGCCGCCGCCCAAGGGACCCCCAAGAGCCCCCTAAGAGGCCCCAGGGGAGCCCCAGACGCCGCCAAGGAGCCCCAAGACGCTCCCAAAAAGCCCCCAAGACGGCCCCAAGAGGCCCCAAATAGCGCTCCAGGGCCGGCGGAATGAGCGAAGCGATAAAATAAACGGTCCTCACGCGAGAAGACACAGCGACCTCACGCCGCGGCTTGCGCGGGCCGCCAGCGTGGCACACCGCGCAGAGAAGAGGGCGCCCACGCGCGGCCGGACGCGGGAAGCTTGGGGGGATGCCGACGAGAGGGAGGGCACGAAGGCAGAGAGGGGCGTACGACGAGAGACGAGAGGCAGGAAGAGTCTCCCTGCCTCCCGTCTTGCGCCTCTCTGAGAGGGCACGACGGCGGCGAGGAAGCAGAGACGAGCGAGGACGAGGGGCAGAGGCCAAAGGGAGAGGGAAGTAAGAAAGGCGACAGACGCGATCAGAGGGCCAGTAACGGGGGGGGGGACGAACCAGCTCACGTGGCTGACTTCTCCGGCGCCTTCTGGCGTTAGTGTGTCGAGGAACTCGCCCGGCGGCGGGGCCGACCCTGACGGCGCCTCCAGCGCCGCCACTGGCGCTCTCCGCGCGCCACGGGGATCCAGCGCCGATCCAAGAAATCCGCGCGGACCTCGGACAGTTATGTCTACGCTTAAGTCGGGCACGTCCCTCTACAGGAGGAGTAATCAAAAATTGTCAACAAAGTAGTCTGGGGACGATTTCAGGAGTATTTTTTTGACCATTTTGGAGTATTTCTTAACTATTTTTGATTTTTTCCTCCAAAATCACCCTGTAGGGGGATAGGCCCGACCTATATCTGCGCGGAATTCTGCTGAGGTAGGTCGGCGGCGCTTCTGTTGGGCGAAGGGGGGGGGTAGCCCCCTGGCTTTGCTGGGCAGGCGTGTGCACCGGCCCTGGGCCCGGGATCGGCCTGGCCACATCGGTCTGGGGGGACGATGGCAGCACGAGGCAGGGGGGCTGCAGGTGAGTTGCCACGGGGGACGGGGAGGGGCCATGCCTCCGTGGGGAGAGGGGAAGAGAGAGAGAGAGAGAGAAGGGGGAAGAGAGAGGGGGGAAGAGAGGAGAGGGGGGAAGAGAAGGAAGCGAGAGGGGGGGCGAGGCGAGGGGAGAGAGAGGGAAGAGAGAGGAGGAGAGAGGAGAGGAGGGAAGAGAGGAGGGGAGTGGGAAGAGAGGGAAGAGAGAGGGGAAGAGAGGGGGGGGGGGGGGGGCGAGGCGAGGGGAGCGCGAGTGGGGGGGGGTGGAGAGACCAAGGGGGGCAGAGGGTATGCCTCCCGGGGGAGCGACGGGGGGAGAAGCGGGGAGGGGAAGGAGAGGGGGCGAAGCAAGCTAGGTGCGCTCGCGCCTCATCTGACATCCTATCCCTCCCGCCCACCTCTTCCCATGGCGCTGATGTTGACCTGCAACTGGTAGTCGACCTGCAACTCCAACAAAAGGGCCACATCGTGTTGTGCACAATCGGAACAGAAGGATTTGCGTGCACAGGAGAGGGCTCGCTATCTTCTGGACGGAATCAGGGGACAAGGGAGAGTACAGTCGGGCCGCCGAAATAAGAAACGATGTAATAAATAACGAAACTCCTTTTTGGCCCAAGCAGCGCCGGCGTGCACGAGAAGGGCTAGAGGAACAGCCATGGAGAAGGACCGAAGAAACGCCGTGCTCTTCCGAACCCAAAGCGGTCCTTCTTTCAGCGTCTTGACTGCAGCACTCGTGCTGCTTGATTGCAGAGGGGAGCGGGAGCGGGAGGGACACGGCGGGGCAGACGGTGTGAGAGGACACCCGAGAGGCGGGCCCCCATGTCCCCCCTCGCTCCGCAGGGCGTCCATCCCCTGCGCCCCGAACTTCAGCTTGCAGAGCACCACCTGCTCCGCCGCGCACGCGCCCGCGGTGCGGCACGCGGCCGCGCCAAGCCGGTCGGGCCCCTGGGCGCCAGACCCCGAGCGGCGGCGCCCGCAACGCCGTCCTCATCGATCCGATCCTCGACCTTTCCTTTTCCTCCTCCCTCCTCCCCCAGCCTTCTCCTCCACGGCTTCCTCATCACTCCTCCTCCTCCTCCTCCCTCCTCCCTCCTCCTCCTCCTCCTCCTCCTCCTCCTCCTCCTCCTCCTTCTCCTCTCCTCCTCCTCCTCCTCCTCCTTCCTCCTCCTTCCTCCTCCTCCTCCTCCTCCTACTCCTCCTCCTCCTCCTCCTCCTCAGCCGCGTCATCCCTCCTCATCCCTCCTCTGCCTCCTGCTCCCTCCTCCTGCTCCCTCTTCCTGCTCCTCCTCCTCCTCCTCCTCCGCCGCCGCCGCCGCAGTCGTCGTCGTCGTCGTCGTCGTCGTCGTCGTCGTCGTCGTCGTCGTCGTCGTCGTCGTCGTCGTCGTCGGCGTCGTCGTCGTCGTCGTCGTCGTCGTCGTCGTCGTCGTCGTCGTCGTCGTCGTCGTCGTCGTCGTCGCCGCTGCCGTCGTCGCCATTGCCGTCGCCGTCGCAGCCGCCGTGGCCATCGCCGTCGCCGCCGCCGCCGCCGTCGCCGCCGCCGTCGCCGTCGCAGCCGCCGTCGCCGTCGTCATCGTCGCCGTCATCGTCGTCGTCGACGTCGTCGAATAGAGCCAAGGGCCCCAAGACCAGCCCAAGAGGCCCCCCAAGAGTGTCCCCAGTCGGTCCAAGAGGGGCTCAAGACGTCACCCCAATCGGCCCAAGATGGACCGAGGAGTGCCTGAGATGGCCCTCAGAGGGAAACTCGAAGTAACATTTCGCGCGCGCTCTCCGCCCCAAGATGACCTCCGAGACCGCCAGCAGGCCCTTAAGGGTCCTCCCAGAAGCCCCACGAGGCCCTCAAGAGGTTCAAATCGTGCCCCAGGCAACCCCTAAGAGGCCCCCAAACGCCCCCCAAACCGCCTACAAGAGGCCTCCGAACGGCCTCCCAAGAGATCCTGACCTGCATCCAAGAGGCCTCTGACCTACAACTCAGGGGGGGTGACAAATGAGTAGGATGCAAAGGGTAGACAATCAGCTCACGTACAGCTGGCTTTCCTGGCGCCTCCTGGCGCCAGGAGGCGCCCATGTATCGAGGAATGGGCACGGCGGCGGGGCCGAAACAAGCTGCATGCAGCAGATTTCGTAACCCCCCTTCCCGATCTATCATACCCTTTCGACCGGAACGAACAATCCAAGCACGGTGGCAGGATGGGCCAGCGGCCACCGCTTGGAACGACAAGATCCACCGCTGTGAATGGCTGCAACCTCCACGCTGCGGCCTGGCCAGATCCTCCGTCAGGCGGGGCACGGGGGACGCCAGCGGCTCGAAGAGAAAGCTGGGTCGGCCGAGCCCAGCGCGCGCGGCGTCGGTGCGGGAACTTCGAAGGGCAAGCACCTCCACCGACGCCGGCTCGGCAAAAGCGGCAGGCCCGGGCGAAAGCGAAAGGATGGACCGGGTGAGCAGAGGGTGGGGTCCGCCTGTGCCAGATCGACCTTGTCGCCGGTGGGGGCCGGGGGGTCGGGCTCGCAGTGGTGACCTGCCCCCTCCCCCCTCTCCTCGTTCTCGTCTTCCTTCCCCTCCTCCTCCTCCTCCTCCTCATCATCATCACCATCAGCATCTTCATCTTCATCTTCATCTTCATCTTCATCTTCATCACCACCACGACCATCATCATCATCATCATCATCATCATCATCATCATCATCATCATCATCATCATCATCATCATCATCATCATCATCATCATCATCATCACCATCACCATCACCATCATCATCATCATCATCAGCATCATCAGCATCAGCAGCATCAGCATCAGCATCAGCATCAGCATCAGCATCAGCATCAGCATCAGTATCAGCATCAGCATCAGCATCAGCATCAGCATCAGCATCATCATCATCATCATCATCATCATCATCATCATCATCATCATCATCATCATCATCATCATGTTGATCATCATTGCCCTCCTCCCCTTCCTCCTCCTCCTCCTCCTCCTCTTCCTCCGTCCTCTTCTTTCCTCGTCTTCCCCTTCCTCGAACGTCGGAAGCATCCACGTAGGGGGGGCGATGCGGCCACACAGAGGAGGCATCCGTCGAGAAAGTATCCAACCAAGGAGGCGGACAGCCAGCGCCGCCCGTCATCACTGAAACATCACCATACACCACCGCTCCAAACGAAACCAGGCAAAGGCGGGCCTGACTTCCCTGCCTCCCCTCGCGCGCTTTCCCGGGGATGGGCTCTTCCTGCTGTTGGTGCTGCTCCTCTTCCTTCTCTCAGTCCTTTTTCTCTTTATTTCTTTCTTTCTTTTTCCCTCTCTCTCTCTCTCCCTCCCCCCCCTCCCTCCCTCCATCCCTCTCTGTCTCTGTCTCTCTCTCTCTCTCTCTTTCTCTGTTTCTCTCTGATGCCATGTTTCGTTCGTCTTTCCTGCGCCCCAGGTCAGGGTCCCCACCCTGACATACCAACACATTGAAACAACCAACACTTGGCCAAACGCTAAACCGTCGGGTCAATACAAATTTGGTCATGGTCGCCATTCCCGTTTTCCTGGGGGGGTCGTGGGATCAGCTGCAGCAGACATGGATCTTCGATCAGAGACATCCCGAGTCGTGCGGAACAAGCGCACCGCCAGACGGCGTGCCCTGGGTCTCTCCTTCAAGGTCACACTGGTGGCGCGTCGGCGAGGGGCCCGCGGACATTTGGGCCTGGGATTGGCGCTGCTGGGCGTGGTGGCCTCCACGAGGGGTAGCTCGAGAGGCGGCCTCTCGTCCATCTTGTGAGTTTGACCTGGCCCGCGGCGCGGGCCAAAAACGCGGCGGCGCGCGCGTTGAGGCCTTGGGGGGTCCGGGAAGAGAGCCGAGGTCGTGCCGACGGGATCTCGCGCCGCGCAGAGATGCACCCCGCCGTGGGGCGCGCAGCGTGTCGAACGACGCCATCTATGGCACTCAGAGACACTGGAAAGTGGTACCGAACGTTCGCCGCGTCCAGCCAAGCCGAACGATGATGGTTTGGAAGATAGCCAATCGGCCCTCCCTCGTCCTCGGCTTGTAAAAAGTCCCGCGAAGGCGCGCGAAAATCTACACAAGCTCCAAGATTCATGTTATGTGTCATATTCCCTGGGTTTTCGGATTCCCCTCAAGTTTCAACACGTTCACATACTTTCAGGGAAAACGAAGATTCTGAGTGTTTGTGTATCTTTTCCCACCCCGACTTTCGACGGCGTCCTGGAGAATGGCCGCCACGGCGGCCAGCTTGCCGCCCCTGGGGCGCTGGATGGAAATCAACAATTCTTCCTATCATAAGGCCAGGCCACCCCCAAGGGGTCTGGGGAAACAGCGACAACGCACCAAGATAAGAATGAACAACATCCGAGCGAACGCCTTTCACCCTGTCACTCAAGAGGCAAGCGCCGTGGCATCACGGAAGGTCCTCACATGAAAATGATGGTGGTGCCCACCAGCGAAAAGCTTTCAAAACCTCCCAAAGCCGCAAGCGCTGCCAAAGTACGCGTCCCGCCCCCATCTTCGAATCCCCTCGGGAGGGCTGGAGGGAACTAACACAGACGGTA